CCTGCTGAGTGGAGGGATGGTAAGGGGTTAGGAGGTCACAGAGGTAATGGGGAGCAAGACCATGGAGAGCTTTGAAGGTGAGGAGCAGGATCTTGAACTGTATCCTCTGTTTGATGGGAAGCCAGTGGAGTCGGGCAAGGATGGGGGTAATAGGGTCACGGAGCCTAGTGTGGGAGAGGACGCGAGCTGCAGAGTCCTGGATGATCAGCAGCCTGTGGAGGGAGGAGTTGGGGAGGCCGACAAGCAAGGAGTTTACATAGTCAAGCCTCGCTGTTATGAATGTGTATATGAGGGTTTTGATGGCCTGTGGTGTGAGAGTGGTGGTGCCGGGCAATGTTGCGGAGGTGGGGGAAGGCAGAGATGTGGGGCAGAAAGGATAGTTGAGGATCAAACAAGACGTTAAGGTTCCTGACTGGCTTAGTAAGGTGGAGTGTGCAACCATGGATGGTGATGCTGTCACTGCCTGCAAGATAACTAGTGGTAGACAGTAAATCAAGGGAACTATTTTGATGCACCTAAGACCAAGGGAGTCTATTCACGGTCCAGTATTAAAATGGGCACGATTTTTCGCAATTTGGTACCACCATATGTGAGCTGCAGGTGTATAATCAGGTTTCAGGGCAAACACACGGATTCCTCATCCAATTCACAAGGAAATCATTGCTGGAAGCCTCCAATTTATACCAAAGTATAGCTACATGCAACACTGAGGGGGGAGGGGGTGGGGTGGGATCGCTTGTAGCAAAAGCCATGGCCAAATTGAACACTTTTTTTGCTGATTGGCTGGTTACTGCAGGGTAATACAATTTTTCGCCTTGGCACTAAGGGAGTGTTGAGCTCTCATGTACTTTTATTAGAAATTGTTAACATTTTATAAAAACATACTTTTTCTCCCATTTCGCAAGAAAAAATACATTAGTATAAATGTGGCCTTACCAATAATAATAATCCTTGCGTTTGATATAGTGCTTTTCACGTCTTCTCGACGTCTCAAGAGCGCTTCACAGAATAGACTGTAAAGTGAATTGACCATATATTTATGGGCGAAATGCAGCAGTCAATTGTGCACAGCTGTGTCCCACAAACAGTCGTGGATTGAAAATGACCAATTTATTATTGTTTTGGAGGGATTATTATTGGATGGTCTATCATGTCTTCGAGACATTTCGAAGCACTCCACAGAATATACTGTAAAGCGAATTGACTGTATACCATGTTGGTGAAATGCAGCAGCCAATTGCGCACAGCAGTGTCCCAGTCGTGGCTTGAGTGACCAAATTGCTTTTTTTAAGGAATTATTACTCCCGGAAAAGCGATCTGCCAATCGACTAACAACCGGGTTCCTACTTACTGCTAGATAAACAGAGGCGTGTGGAGTAAGGAAACCTGCCCAATGTTTCACCCTGCTGGGCATCAAACCCAGATCTCTCGCTTACGAAGCGAGTGCTCTGACCACTGAACTACAGGACTCCACAATGTTCTCAACAAGTTTACAATAAACTTTTAGACTTACAGTCAAATGCCCTTGAGATACTGTACAACTGAAATTTGATTAGCTTTATTAACAGTAGCTTCCCATTGCCTGGAATTTTTTAGTGAATGATCAATAATCTCATTCAAACTTTGTCATCTCCACCGTTGCTAATGGAAATCAGTTCGACATAGTTGCTGTTCCAGTTCCAATATACATTACTTTACATTAAAATCCATTTTATTCAGTCAGATCTTTTTGAATGTTTATCTTTCTTATATTAAACACTGGACAACGTTAACTTGGTATCATCAGGAATTTTCATTGACTTTTTACAAAAAAGCATTAATCAAGTTGTTTATGAGTACTGTAATTTCTATAGTAAGGAATCAAAAATCTGCTGATCTCTGCAATTCACTACTGCCAGCCTCTTCTTTTATTGCTACAAATAAGATCTTCTATTTCACACTGGCAAGTCACGATTCAATAGTTAGCTAATTTGCATTCCATAAACTTGAACATTCTTTAAAATCTTACAGGTGAAACTTTATCCAATACCTTCTGAAAACGTAAGTAAATTATATCCACTGGATAGCTAATTCACTACTTTAGTTTGCTGAAAGAATTTCAGGGAATTCGTGAGGCATGATGTATTGCAACTATTTCCATGCTGACCTCTTCATACATCATCCCAGATCATGCTTATAGCATTTCCCTATACTAGATTGCATTCCCTATAATAGATCTAAAGGTGAATTTCACCTCTTATGCCTTTCTTTGAATAATCTGGATTCATTTGGTATCCTCCAGGTAACTGAAGACAGAGGAGCAGAGCATCCCTCCAACTGATACTCCAATAACAAATATACAGGTACAAATTTAATTGCATCAACTGGATTAAATATTCTCATTCAAAGCAATGTATTTCATAAACATTTCACTTAATTGGTACCTACCAACATTATATATATGTATTGCACAAATCGCATTGGAGAAAAGCTTTATATTAATCTTTAGTAGGTCTGACAAGTAAATGTTAGCATATATCTGTGCTGTGTCACTTCTGGAGTATGGGCAGTGTTGGAAGGATGTAATATTGCCTTGGGCTATACTATGCCTATTCAACTGAAGGCACTGCCATTCGGTGCCACAGAGCGATCTACCTAACACAGGAGAAAATAATGTGCAAAAACTTTTATTTACATCCAATGGTTCTAAGCAAGCTTTTACTTTTATATTACAGTACGCTGAACCAATTTGATACCATCAGATCTATTAAGCTTAATTTAGTCAAAGTAGATGTCAGAAGAAAATTATTGCATTCTAACTGGCGCTTAATAAAACTTATGTGAGTGACTGGAACCAATCTATTTAATGCGTCTTGTGTAATCATTGAAGTTATTATTCAGTAATAAATGGACAAAAAATCTTTCTGCTTATTTCATGTTTTTATTATAGAAACATTTTAACCTACATAATGTATCTCATCCCTCATTCCACCAAATCATTTGCTAACCATTTATTGGAATTAAAAAGAAATGAAACCAAAGCAGCAGGCATAATGAGAAGCAAACAAACTCATGGCTTTAGGTCCTGTAAATAAAATTGTGTTCTATAGGTTTACAGTTATAAATCTCATATAAGAATTTATTAATGTATTTGCGAAAATTCCATTCGGGAGTGTTTTGGATAATTAGAGTTGAAGAGTAGTATTTTGCAATTGGATTCACTAACATCAAGCTCAAGAGTTCTTAAATAGGAATCTTGCCGGTAACCACGGTACGTTACAGCCAAATGGTGGGAGCCCTACTAATGGCACTTCAAAGTGGGGTTCTCATGAGTGAGCTATATTGTACGGCCTCTTAGCTGTAGGATTCCCATCAAATAATAAAAAATAATCTTTGCTTCGCTGTGAAGTATCGTGACTATTGGTAAGCAAACTGAATTGCTATTAGTGAATCCACTGAAAACTACCACTTTTTTAACCCCAGTGTGTGCACATTAAATTTCCTTCCAATTTGTTTAGTGTTGATCATCTTCCCAACACACTCTTTGCACAGCATTTTGAAGTAGATTTAGGTCAACAACGATATGCTCACAGTATTTACATATGGAGTAATGGATGACTGCAGCAAATTACAGATGTGTATGTGGTCCCAAGGTAGGTCTGGCATGTCATTTGTACACAATAAAACCCAAAGCCAGGAAAGGATTTACTCCATTCCTGTCTGCTGTGCAACTCTTGGTCATCAATAACTTTATGTAATAAATACAAGGTACCTTTTCCCCAACATCACTGCCGATGATAAGTGGATGACGCTCCAATCAAGGTGAGTTGACAAGACAAGTAAGGCAGCACAATATCACAAAGGGTGTGAGAAGCACAAAACACTGAGAAAAATAATCTGAAAGTTCATACATAAGAATACAAGACGGTTTCAGAAAATATAGATGCTAAATAAACTAATGCGCATTTTATAGATTAAATCGCAATCGAAAACGTAAGACGCTTTATGCAGTGATAGAAAACAACAATTTTCCACTTTCTGCGACTGGAATTGCTTTGAAGATTTTAGTTAACAATTATGCATCGTTACAATAATTAGTAAAATAAAATTCTGCTGCAACATTCATATGAAAAGAATGTATAAAGTGTAGATATATACAAACAATTATATTTTAGGGAAGATTGCACTCATACAAATAATATGCTGTTTATATATTTTTCAAATACAATTTAAGCAAATAATATCTTTGGTACATAACCACTATCGGCTTGCATAATAACAGTACTGAAAGATTTCTAAAATGCAAGATTTGGTAAGGATGCATATTTTACTGCATGTTTTGGGTTAATAATTATATACATAGGTAATAAAATACTATGGTCTATTATGTAAGATCATCCCACTGGTGTAGACTTGGTTTAGTGATGTTAAAACAAAAACTGTCTTCTATTAGGGATCTCAACCACAGCACGTAATTAAGAATACAAAAAATACTGTTCACATGAGAGCCACTAGCTTGGCTTCATACCTAATTTGCACCTGTTCTGAAAATGCATTGGTATGGAAGTGCTTCACTATTGCTCTTGAATAAATTGTACTTTCTATCACCAATTTAAAAGAATGACTGTAAATACAAAATATTTGTGTGAAGTCTGATGTGAAGCCCTGCTGATTGTCTGATTCCCTGCAAACTCTCTGCATGTCTCACACTATGAATAAAAACTATTTGATGTGTGATCTGATATAGGGACAAAGTATTGCATAAGTGGAAGTCAATCCGGATCAGTGTATTTCCCATGTGAATGGTGTAAATGCAAATGTGCAAACTAGACATTCCACACTATCGACTTTGATTGTGTTGAATATTGGTTTATAATATTTGCCTTCAATATAGCGCTTTATCACGTCTTCCAGACGTCTCAAAGCTCTTCACAGAATATACTGTAAAGTAAATTGACTGTATATTTTGCGAGCAAATTGTGGCAAACAGTCGTGGATTGAGTAACCAAAATTATTATTTTCTTGAAGGGATTATTATCAACCGGAAAAGCGATCCTCCAATCGACTAACAACCGGGTTCCGACTTACTGCTAGGCAAACAAAGGCATGTGGAATGAAGAAACTTGCCCAACGTTTCGTCCTGTCCAGGAATCGAACCCAGATCCTCTCGCTTGCGAGGCAAGTTATTATATTGAGACATGGGCCTAAGGTTTCTGTACCTGAGATTCATGTTTTATTATAATAGATTTGTCTCAATCACCAAAATGCCATAATTTGTGAATTTATATCCGAATTGATTACGTTTCTCATTGGCCTTAATAATTCCAAGATGTTTCAACACCCTGGATTGGACCTCTGTATGAAGGTAGGATCTATAAAGCACGTAACCTTGCAAGCAGTGCTTCAACTTCAGGAACAGCATCTCCCTTAGCAATAGAATTAATGGTTTCCACCGCCTTCTCCCTGCTGCCTAAACCAGCAAGACCCTCCCTTCTGCCGACAGCTTTACTTCTTGCAGTAGATGACTGAGCTTCTACTTCATAACTGAGCTCCTTGGCAATTGGAATTCTTGTTGAGTTTAAGTGGATGTTCTGGCGAGACCGTGACCTTTCCAGTTGTGTCTTTTGATTTTCTGCAGCGGTGGGGGGGGGGAAAGACAAATTAAATTACAAAACAGAGGTGAGCATACTTTGAAAGGGCCATGTAAAGTGGAGCAATTTAGAGGAAACAGCATATTAGCATCAGAGGTAAAAAAATGCAAAGGTGACAAAAACTCCAGAAAATGTCAATCATGCAGAGAAGCACATAAATATCATTGGATAAGCAGGGACTTAATAACACAAACCCGGTAGCTTCAGTTAGAAATCCTCTTTGTCCACTCAGTAGATTCAGCTTCAGGTGGATTTGATGCCAGAATAAGAGAATGCATCTTTAATGGAGTGATTTACATTTACATGTTGAGTGAGGCAGATGGGACAATCGTGATATGAGACGCTACCCTGAGAGGAGGGTGCCATATAAGTGCAAGTGGTTGTTGTCATGAAAAATGTGTGAGAATAGCAAATTTGCCATAAACTACTGTGCCATCCAAAATTGTTTGGGGGTAGGGTGGGGGGAGGGTTGTAAAGAATACTGAGTTTTTAGAGATATCTTGAGATCTGAAAGGCTTAGAGGTACAGCAAAATATAATATAAATACAATTTAATTTTCAAAGAAAATCTATTTTCTATCATTTTTGATATCTTTGCAGCATGTTACTAATAAGTGACAGTGATCTTGACTTATCACACCTGCCGTAGCAGTCTACTGTACAGTCAATGATTAAATGGCTTTGGCTGATTGACTCTCCATAGGAGCAAGAAACAGAAATTTTATCAGCCAGGTTGCAGACTTCTAGCAAACATTATGAATTATCTTCTCCCACATCGTCAAATATAAAAACGGTACACTCCATATTCATGTAACCTTGAGCATAGCTTGAAAACAGCCTCAGCAAACTTGACATGACATTTAAAGTTTTTGGTTATTCTCTGAAAGATGTTCTATCATCCATACTGTAATGACTTTGGAACAGAAGCAGTCACTCATGACTGTGTGTTTTATGTGAAAGCTGAAAATTCCTACAGAAAACAGCTTGTACTTTAAAAGGCTTCTGCTGAAGATATTTACTGCACTGTCATTTCATGACCAGGGGGTTCACAGTGATGGATGAGTACTTTACACAGTAGCTTGGACAATCTCAGCAAACCTCTGTAGTATGATCACCTTTAGACCAGAGGCAAGAAAATAAATGCTTTTTCCAAAACCTAGTGGCTTTCCTGGCTATCAGTATTTTAGGGCCAGTTTTTGAAAAACAGCATTAACCGGTAGGGGGTAGCATGATATATTGAACAGTGATGATTTGATGTCTTCCAATAATGGACCATAGCTCCACCCACAAGCTCAGTATAGTCCACCACTTTGTATTTATTGCTGCGTACTCAGGTGAGGAAAGAAAAATACAAATAAGTGTTCTGGATGATGTATCTCCGCACAGTAATGTATTAAAGTTTATGTACCAATGTTTTGGAACATTTATCAGTTTGTCTACCTTATGTTCTAGTGAGTTCCATTGACTTTATTCCAAATGAAACATTGAACATACAGTATCAAATTGTAAAACATTGACACTGCCGAGTGCCAATATAGTAGTTAGCTATATTGTCGAACATTGTTCAACAATAGATTCTGCCATTTTCACCATTTTTGTTTAAATTGTGGAATTCTGTGATTCTTCATCTCAAAGGCTTTTCGGAATCAAATCAGAGTGGTTCAGTATTTCAAACAATAGAATGTTAGCAGAAAGAAATAACAGAAATGACCTTATGAAATTGCACATTGCATGTGGTGGAAGAAAGAACAAAATAACAGTATGTCGCTCTCTTCAGCAAATCATGGGCAGAATGCTAATTATTAGAAATGAAGGGAACAGGAGATTTGTGTATAATCTATTTAAATTTCCCTTCACATACTATATGCGGATTGTTCAGACTGCCATGGATTTTGCCTGGACCAACATTCGATATTGGATAGAAAGGTTAGGTATCATCATGGGACGTTAATTATGCAAAAGCAAGCAAAATGAATTTGATCAGAAACAGATAGGAAGCTTTTATTTCTCTCCGACAGCTGAGGTTAGAAAAACATTTATGTTAATACTGGAGCATCTGCTGATTACATCTGAAGCTGTGGGACACCGACATTAAATCACTGAACCATTTTGGCAGCTTCTAGGTTCTTCAGCTCTGCAGGGGCCTCATTTTACTGGTAATTTGCAAGGAATTTCACCAAAGTTTGACAGACAGCCAAAAAAACTTCATTGTAGAAAGACATTTTTGATCATTTAAACACTACTCGACAATTATGATAAGGGGTTTTATATCTATTGTAAGTAATCACCAGATTTTAGTCCTCATAAATTCCTGTGCTTAATAGGAGTGTGAAACATTAAAATAGATTCTTAAGAAGCTGGTAATGCCCATTTTGTTGATAAATATATTTACTTTTATGACCCATTTAGCTTGTAACAATCAACTAAAATTTTGGTGGAGAAGAATGGTGCAGATCTGTTTCTCACAATCCACCAGTCTTAGGAGAGGTCCGAAAAATTAAATCAACAGTTCAATTGCACAGATACCTGCATATTCAAAGGAACTGAACCAACTAATCATTCATAGTTAACATTATAATGGATAATACCATGCTTTCTTTTAAACGATGGTGTAGAATGGCTGAAAGCCATAATAAAAGATGACGGAGACAGAAGAGCGTAAAATGGGAATAAGTCCACACAAATAATAAATGCTTCTTCCAAAACCATGGACACCAACAGTGAAAAATATGAGCTTTCACTGGCAGCAAATAGATTAGCAGACAGATCATAACAATCACCAAATGTGCCACATCAAAAATAAGTTGATTTAAAAGTTACTGCAGCCACAACTGAATGGAAGAGTTGCTGGATATCATCTTGGCATTTGCGTGATTGTGCTTTCTTTCAAAAGGAAATTAGATTTTGATGACAGGATATCTTGTACATTAATCTGGTGATCATCTGAAATGGTTCAAGTTTATTACATCATTGAAAAAACTGAAGTACTACTGGTTGCCATTTTGGATTATATCCAAAATAAAGCAAGTGAGAATAGGATGGCAGGCAGGGAGCCACATGTATGATGCAGTAATATTCTACTGAATGGCTTTAAAAGCAATCAAAATAATCATTATAGTATTGTTAAATTTTGATACTATATGATCCTCAATTTGAAAGCAAAATAAGACTTGGAGTCAGATGCCGCATTTTATTGGCTAACACCACTCTTTCAGTTTGAGGAATAATCATACGAAAATGCACAGCTTGTGGCCATCTTCAAAACATTCAAACTATGTGCATATATCAACCAACCAAATACGTATTGAGTATGACTGACGGAAATCTTTATAGTTGCGGGAAGACAAAAACATTACCAACAAATATACCAAACATAAAGGCAACAATTAGAATATTGCATTTTTGCAGCATTGCTGCATTATTCTTACAAATAGTCACTGCACTTCACAGTAAATCATGTGAAGCACTTTGAGGGATTTCAACAACATGTAAGGCATTATATCAAATTGTTATTATTACCTACAGAGGTCTATTAGAGGTCTGTATTGTACAACATTTGTAATAAAATACATCATTTCAGGGGACTGAAAAAATAAATGTTTACTTAAATTCATATATGGTTGTGATGTTTTAATCAAAGAACAGTGCATGTTGGATTGAGCACATTTGTGAGTATATCTGGAGACAACACAATTGCAACTAAGGTACACAGGCCAGTTGTTCAATGAAATATTTTCCTTATCCAGCCAGTAATATCTGATCTTTAATTTATCATTTGTACTGGATGGACAAAAAACAGCAAGTATATCAACAAGAGGCTATTGCATTTTGATCAGCAATACAGAAATAACAACTCACACACACATAGGCCCCACGAAAGAGGCTGAGAGAAGATGTTGTATACATCATTCAAACGATACTCAAAAGGTCATGAGAATAAAGTAAACATAGGCATGCAGCTGCCAATGTTAATGGGTTAGTGCCTGTGATTTGCAGCTTAGCAAGTTTTTGATCTTGACCAAGTCAACATGAATGAAACAATGGACAGTTGTAAGGATATTCATTTTCAAAAAACGTACATTGCCTGATGAGGATGGAACACTTATAAATTTAGTTGAAATTATAATTATAATGCGCATGTAAAAATGATTTTTGACAGACTGATTCTATGGCATTACACCCATTGCTAGTTGAGCTGAGATTAAACAATGAATGGGCAGGAAAGAAGCTAAAATATGCTTCAAAACAGAAATACTGGAAATCCTCATTAGGAAAAGAAAAATTGGTTAATATTTCAGGGATAACCTTTTATCAGAAAATATGTTTCCAGGATTTTCAGTTTGTCGTTTATTCTTAGGCAGAAAAATATTGTTGTGAACTTGAAATTTGTGAATAATATGGTTATTTTTTGACTACTACATTTTAGGTTTACAAATTTCTCTAAATTATGGATCAATAATGTTGTATCCTATTTCACATCCTACATGATCATAACAAAAACACAGTATATAGTTCCAAAAGGTATAAATGATGTGGCCAATACTTAACAATCCACCTTCAGATCGCTGTCATGGATCAGTAAGTGCATCTCTCTCCTGTTGGACTTGAATATTTATATCTTTGGATATTCTGTCTCAATGCTGTCTACGAAGGACAACTAAACTGAATTAAAATAATCCTCGCATTTGATATAGTACCTTTCATGTCAGGAGGATGTCTCAAAGCACTTTACAAGATATACTAGAAAGTATAGTGAATGTGTAATTTATAATTTCTCCAGAAAACAGAACATGTGAATTGTTGCCCAATTTGCTTTTTTTAAAAAAAGATGTTCTAACACAATTATTCCCAAAATGTTGAAGCTGTAGAACAGCATAATGCCTTTTGGGACATAACACTTTTATAGTTGTTGCTATATTTACAGATTGATCAATAAACATCTGAACTGCATCCTCAATTAAACTGTTATTTACAAATACATT